AGAAAACTAGATTAACTAATCAATGCTGCGCAAGATTCGCGGTGCAGAGTCTGGAACTATAAGACCAAGATTAGTGTGAACAGATGTAACTGAAACACATACAAAACTACAGATGTAAGTAAAACACACAAAGCTGCATAAGTGAAAAAAACGGGGCCCCACAGCGTCCCTTTCTGTATCATTTAGGGTATATTCCTCAAAGGAACCCTATCATAGTACCCGTATAGGTAAAGGCATATTCCTTAATTAAGGGATACGTGGGCTCTCTACAAAGCCGCAGGCTGCAATTGCACGGCGCTGCAGGGGTGGCCCGCGCCTCCGGTACCAGGTGCCGCAGGCCGGGACTTTACGGACTGACGGTTTTAGAAGGGTTTCGGGTTTGAAGGTTCAGGGTTTCAGGGTTTCGGGGTTTGGGTTTGGGGTTTAAGGTTTATAGGGGCTAGGGATTAGGGCTTAAGGTTTAAGGGGTGGGGTTTAGAGCTTAAGGCTTCGGGTTTAAGGAAAACTCTGGAGTTAAATGGCTGCGGCAGACAGCTTCCGGTGTTTTTGGGAGGAATCATGAGGATATCTCCAGGTATACAGGTATTCTAGCTTCGGGGGGGGGGGTAGAAGGTATCGGGCTCTCTCGGTTCGTGAGGTTGGGTTATATGTGGACTTATAAGCCCGGTTATAACTAACTATACATGGGGCTCCTGACCAACATTGAACCCTAAACCCTGCACCCTAAACTCTAATAGACCCTGAGCCCTAAACCGCAAACTCTGAACCTTACCCGCATGACCCTTACAACAGGTGCGTGGGGGCCGTCCGGTCGGGTTTTGGTCTTCAGGATTGTAGGCCCTTGCTGCTCAGGGGGGTTGAGTTCTGTTGTAGGGTTTAGATTAGGGTTTATGGTTTTGGGTGTTTGGGGTGTAGGTTGCCAGAGAGTGAGTCTTCAAGAGTAGCAGTTGAAGATTGATCTGCTTTGCGTTCAGAGTGTTGGGTTTGAGGGGTTTCAAGGTTTTACATAACCAGAGTCTCGGGTAGGTCCATGTATACTATACCATTATGGACTTAGGTTTTAAACATCGTATCAAGGATGGTCTCTGGGGGAGTATAAATTCCAGAATGGTAGCATCTATGGACCCTCTGGGATAGGCTTCCAGAGTTCCCGGTGCAGCAGGAGCCGAGGCATAGACGAGAGTTTATCGGATTAGGAGGCGGGGCGTGGTGACTGTAAGATTCAACCATAGACTTCAAGCATTGTGGCGTAATGGGTTTAGGGTTTAGGGTAATGGGTTTAGGGTTCAGGGTTTATGTTGTCTTGTACGGTATGCCAAGTATCGGGGCTGTGGGGATGGGCTTTTCTGGATTGCAGGTGTGGTGTTCTTGTAATAGCATCTCCACTGTAACACGCCTGAACGCTGTCGTGGCTGCCAAGGTGGTCGAGAACTTCGAAAGGAGTGGTGCGCCGGAGAGTTCTGGTTTGATGGCTATGGCTGTTCAACGTCACATGGTGGTGTGAAGGGGCGATGTATCTTCAAAGTGGAAACGGTTGAATACCAAGAGAGACTCATAATGACATTGGTCCCAGGTGTAGTAGACGGGCTGGGCACAACCTGTGGGGTTGAGAGCTTAGGGTGGCCCATCTGCAGCGATTCTGAGCCGTTCAGAGTTGGGGATTGCAAGAAGGGTTTGAAAAAGAAGTTGGCCTGGGATGAGGAAGTCCACTTGTCGTGGTGTAGGTTTGTAGAGTTCCCAACCCATAAAGCTCGAAATCCTAAGCCTTAAATGCCCAGCTTTCGCTAAACTCTACAAAGCCCTGAAGCAAAAAGCCCTAAAACAACCCCAAACCCCACACCCTGCACCCGAAACCTCTAAATCCCTAGCCCCTGATTCCTTGACTCCGCAAACCCAGACTCCACAGCCCAATAAACCCTTGTGCAAACAACCCTAAACCCTTCTCTGAAACCCCGAAGTGAAGCCACAGATCTGCTTTCAGGAGCACCCTCAAAGCCCCAAAGAGTTTAGGGTTTAGGGTTTAGGGGTTTGGGGGGTTTAGCGTTTAGGGGTTTGGGGGTTTAGCGTTTAGTAGGGGTTTGGGGGTTTAGCGTTTAGAGGTTTATTGGTTAAGGATTTTTTGTTGTTAAGGGGTTTTGGGGTTTGGGGTGGGAATACTAACTTGATGGAGGCCTTGAAGCAGCGCTACAATGCAGCAGGTACTGTTCCAACTGCTGGGAAGAGCCGGGTCCTTTGGACTCTGCCTGCTTCTGCTTGGAGGGGGGGAGGAGGTTAGGGTTGTGGGTTTAGGGTTCAGGGCAGGGTGTTGGGTTCAGGGTTTAGGGTTTAGAGTTTAGGGCTTGCTAGAACGCTTATAGGGGGCTTGCAAGGGGGCTGAAGGTGGGGCTTAACTCAACAAGGAAAGAACATGACATGGCAGGTACTATAAATCCATGCTGAGATAGTAAAAGTGCAAGGTTTAAGCCTTGTGCTGTCCATATCGCTAAACCCTAAACCCTGAAACCCTAAACCCTTCATATCGCATGTTTGTGAGCTTAGCGGGTTGCCAAGATTCAGGCTTCCGTTGGTTCAGGGCCGCTGAGGGCTTCAGCGCTTCGTGTTCGTCAGTAGTAGCTGCCTATACATGTGGCTGACTGTTTTGATTACTTGCGGAAATTGCAGACTCCCGTAAACCTGTCTACAGTCGCCATCCGAATCCTCACCCCTTCATTAATCTGTGATACGCCTGAACACCATGCCGAGACCGTCATGCTACAGCGTTTGACGTAATCGCCAATGCTATGACGAGACGCTAAACCTAGCATTGTGCTTTCATGCTACAGCACCTGACGTAGTCCCCAAAGCCTTACAATTAAAGCATAACCAACAGCTTTACCTCAAGACCTTCAACTTAAACCCAAACAAGGATTTACCTCAAACATTTAACTGAAGTCTAAACGACTCGTGCCTCAAACTGAAGGCCCTTATACCTTTTGACCTAACCCTTCAAAGCCCTCTTTCCTAATCCTTCAACCCAGAATGACCAAAACGTCATACATTTCTACAAACCCTTTAAAATGTAAGACACAACACTCGTATAGAAGTTCGCATGCAACCACAGACAGCCCTACAGACACCTCCGTAAATCCTCAGGGCGCGTGCCCTGCGTGGCGAAGGCGCAGCGCCCGAACCCTGGCCCGGATCAGTGGCAGCGCCCTGGGATCAGCCCGGACCTTGACATCCGAAGACGAGGTGATAAACAAAGGGACTTTAATAATTAGAATAGGGTTTTGGGGTCACTTATAGTACGTTTATGATAAGGAACCAATTGATTTATCTATATTCTATATGTAATTGTAATTATGTATCTGTGTATTCCTACATTATACCACATGACAGTCCACTACGTCATATGACATCATGTTGTATAATATATGTGTACATATATATATATA